CCTGTCTCACTCCCTTTACACCCTTACCTAAGTTCAGATCTTGCCACTGGTGCTAATCAATTCATGGTCCTTTGCAAGTTACTAACCCCTCTGTAGTGCAGCTTCCTTAAACTGGGTTCATGATAATCTATCTGGTAATGTCATAGTGAGGGTTGATTTAATATACAATTCTTAGAAAAGTGCGTGGCATAGGAAGCACTGTAGAAGTGCCAGCTATTGTTGTTGTTGGTATTGTCTGTGTTCCAAGAGTGGTGTTGTCTACCGTACTTCCATGGCTTTGCATGAAGCACTATTGCATGTGTGATCATACCATGTAGGTTTATTCTTAGGTTGCTTCTCTCTATTTTAGGTCTTAATCATCCGCATATGACATCATTCCAAAGTTGTTGTTGCCTTCATTCGCTTATAAACTCTGACATTGCGATTTCACCAAAACATACTTTGTTTTGGTACTTCCACACAGAATCTAAACACACTGCATATTGCAGATGCTCAGACTTTTGTTTATTGATAGAACAGGAAATCCATTTTTCTCCAGATCTCTCTTTGTAAGGCTTTTATATAGCCGTTCTCTCCTTTTTCTGTTCTCTGCTGTGCTCTTAGCATACTAACATTTTTTTTTTACCTATTTTTACTATAGCTCTCTCTTTTATGACAATCATTCATTTTAGCCCTCTACCCTTCTGTTCCTCCATTTGGGTAGGAGTTGCTTTTACTATATCTCTGGCCTTTAGCACAGGGACTGCCACAGTAGACACTCATATTTGAATACATGCTTGATAAAGAAAGAATAATACACATTATATTAATGTCAGTGTATTTGAGGGAATCTGTCAGGAAAAAAAATGTGTGCTTTTTTAAAAGTATATTTCTTTTGGCTCACTAAATGTCCAAGAAAGACCTAGTGATTTAGGGACTCTAACAAGCAGGAAACTCCAAATAAATATTATTTTAACACAGAGGTACAACCCAAACTCTGTTTTTTCTTTGTCTCCAAGCTTCATGTTTTCTAAGGTAAATTTTTTTCCCTGTAGTTTTTAGGAAAATATCAAAATTTGGAAAATATCTAAATTGTTATGGAAATAAAAACAGATGGTAGATTTTGACATGGATGAATTAAACTACTTTGAGAAGAAAATTTTCACTAAATTAGATTTCACAGCTCTGAAAGTTGTTGAAGAGAAATTTTCTACTAAAACTATTCTGATAGGTTTTGTAACACAGTAACTGCATAAAGTACAAACTTTACTTTGTTCCTCGATCCACAAGTCACTGTGTAAGTAGCAGGTGAATGTTACAATCAGTGACCATTCACATCACTTCTTTCTTTCTTTTCTTTTCTTTTTTTTTTTTTTTTTGAGTTGGAGTCTCACTCTGTCACCCAGGCTGGAGTGCAGAGGCACACTCATAGCCACTCCAACATCAATCTTCTGGGCTCCAGCAGTCCTTCCACCTCAGCTTTCCAAGTAGCCCGAAGTGCGCTACCACCCCCAGCTAATTTTCTATTTATTGTAGAGACGAGGTATCGCCAAGTTGCCCAGGCTGGTCTCAAACCCACAGGCTCAGGCAGTCCACTTGCTTCAGCCTCCCAAAGTGCTGGGATGACAGACTGAGCCACTGAGCCAGGCCACATCACTTCTTTCTTTTAAGGTCTGTCTGTGATTGGTCACCAGGCATCTTTTAGTTGGTTTATGCACAGACAGCAAAGCATGTAGTTGTGTTGCTGCTTTACCTCCCTGTGGCAAGCCTGTGTTATATTTTGTAAAAATGTATCATTGAAAAAAGGAATTGACTAATCAAGAATTGCAGTGCAGAAAAATGACATGACAATGCTGGGTATGAAATTCTATTTGAATGCAAATGGAGTTTACATGGAAGTTTATGGAAGTCTGTGGAAGAAATAGCCAGCTGTGGAAATGCTGACACTGCCATGGTTCAGTAGATTCTAGTTATGAAGGCAGAGGAAGTTACTGGAGGTGAATTTATTGAAGTAAATGAGCAGAGTGGATGTCAGAAAAAGTATGTGGATGTCCCTGAGAAAGTGAAACCAGCACAAAACCTCCTTGGAGATATTTCATGATATTGAAAGTGAAAAGGTTAAAATATTAGAACTTGATCTAAACTTAGAAAGAATGTGAAATATGACAGTTCCCCAAAGCATAGAAAAGATTATTACACTATATTGAAAGTTATGTGAGGGATAAGAAGAAGCTAACTACTATTTGAACTATTCTAAAGTACATTTTACACATAAATAAAATTTTAGTTCTCTGTGTTTTGAATGTTTTAAATAAATATAGATTTGTTTTACTATTTTTAAATTTTTCTCTATATTGATAGTTGACAGTAAAATAGTATTTATCTATTTATTTGGTCAGAGTCTGACTCTGTCTCCCAGGCTGGAGTGCAGTAGCATGATAATGGCTCACTGCCACTTCAAGTGACTTTTTGGCTCAGGAGATTCTTCCACCTCAGCCTCCTAAGTAGCTGGAACTACAAGCATGAGCTACCACACCCAGCTAGTTTTTTGATTTTTTTGTAAAGATGAGGTCTTGCTGTATTGCCTAGGCTGGCCTCAGATCCTGGACTCAAGCAGTCCTCCTGCCTTGGCTTCCCAAAGTGCTGGGAACCCAGCTCCCAAAGGTGTGAGCCACTGTGCCTGGTCTATTTTTATTTTTATTTTTTATTTTTTTTGAGTTGGAGTCTCACTCTGTGACCCAGGCTGAAGTGCAGTGGCATGCTCATGGCCACCGCAGCCTTGACCTGTTGGGCTCAGGTGATTCTTCTGCCTCAACCTTCCAAGTAGCTGAAACTACAGGTGCATGCCACTGTGCCCAGTTAATTTTTTGATTTATTGTAGAGATGAGTTCTCACCAAGTTGCCCAGGCTGGTCTCAAACCCACGGGCTCAGGCAATTATCTCACCTCAGCCTCCCAAAGTGCTGGAATTATAGGCATAAGCCACAGCATCCAGCCTATTTTTTTTTTTATTGTTTTTGATAGATATTTTTAGATATCATTTTTTAATACTGTTATATCATTTTAACCCACTGTCAAAAGTTCAGGAGAATCCATTAATACTGTCTTCTAATACCTTGTTTCATCCAGTTGTTCTTATCATTTGTTCAAGTGCTTCCTCTGTTAGCCTCCTTGTTTATATATTTATATGCACTTAGGTTTTTTTATCCTAAAAAAATAGCCTGATCTTTTGCTTTTGTTTGCAAAAACTCTTACTCTCTTTTCCTTTATTCTCTGTTCTCTTGATACCTCACTTTACTTTCCATTCACTGCCTCTTTAGTTCTTGCAGTCACTTGATAGTAGGCACTGTGAGAGTAGAGGTCATGTCTGTTACTGAATGTCCAGTTCCTAGACTAGGGATTGGCATACGTGTATATGGTCAGTATTCTTTATTTGAAGGAATGAGTTCAAAAATGCCTCCTCCCATCTGCCTTGTCCACCCTTTCCTTCTGTCTTTATGATCCCTTTACCTTGGCTTTCTAGAAATGCCACACCATGTTTCCATACTTCCACCCAGTGTCCATTTCTCTTTGCATTTTTTGGTTCCATCTAAAATAGGCTACTCATTATTCACCTGCTGCCTTCCACAGACCTGCCTTCCCTGGAGCCTTTCCTTATGCTACCCTTTCTCCTAGAAGCTGGTTCTGCTCTTTCCTCTCTGCCCTTCCCCCATTCTGCTGTCGTCATCATCCCATCGTTTTCCCCACTCAGAGCCATGCCAAAGACTTGCTCTGTGAAGCTCCTTCTTGTCTTCCTCTCCTTAGCCACCCCAGTCTTTCTCCTTCTTTAAACAACTGTAGAACTTTGCGCTCGGTTAGTGGAACGTACCAGATATGGGCTCCCTGGGCTTTCTCTTATTCTTTTCTTACACACCGTCGAATATTTTGTTGGATTGCCCTGCAAGCTGCCATTTCAGAGAGATTTCAAGGAAACACTATCCCACTTTGAATGATTGTTTTGTGATTATTCTGCTCCTTTGTCTTCCAACTCACACAGTTTCTGTCATTGTTCTTAAGGGTTATATGGTGCATTCATTTAGTTTAAAATGCCAAAGGCCAAAAGACGTGAGAATGTGGTAGAGCATTAACTCTGGAAAGATTTTTAGAGATCATATAGTCCAATCCCTACGTTTTGTAGATGAATAAACTGATTCTAGAAAGCTTAAGTGACGTGGCTGAAGTCATACAAACCAGTCTGTGGTCACATTTGGACTGGAATGTTGTCAGCTAAACGCTCATGTATGCCTGTTACCACAGCTGCCACAGGGCACGTGAGGATATTACATTATGTTTACCTTTGTGTAAACTGTTAAAAAGAGGATATGATATTCCTATATTGCCTTTATTGGATTAACAAATAGAAAATTGAGACTCTAAATAGATTTTTCTTTTTTCCTTAATTATTAGAATTTTTATGACTAATTTATGCTAATTGGAGAGTTTCTCATTACATTAACTTTGAATGGTATAGAATTGTTTGTTGACTTTTTTTCCTGAGTCAGAGTCTCACTCTGTGGCCCAGGCTGGAGTGCAGTGGCACGCTCATGACTACTGATCCTTTCTCCTCAGTCTTCCAAGTAGCGGGGACTACAGGCACACACCACAAGGCCTGGCTAATTTTTTAATTTTTTTTTTTTTTTGTAGAGATGAGGTCTTGCCATGTTGCCCAGGCTGGTCTTGAACCTCTGGGTTTAGGAATCCTCTTACCTCCACCTCCCAAAGTGCTGGGATTACATGGGTGAGCTGCTACACCTGGCTTTTTGTTGACATTTCAGGAAAATTTTTATTGAAGTTTAATATACAGAAATGTATATAAATACAAGTGTAGAGTTTGAATTTTCAAAGAGTGAATACATCCATGTGACTGTCACCTAGATCAGAAAAAAGACCAACACCAACAAGTTTAAAAACTTTTAAAGAAATAAAGCATTTGGAGAAAGAAAAGGATTTTGAAACTGTATAATTTTCTCTTTTCCTTCTGCAGGTATTGTCAGTATGTGTGTTAACAACAATCCTTGGTTGTATATTTGGCTTGAAACCAAGCTGTGCCAAAGAAGGTAAGTAGTTCTCTCTCTCTCTCTCTCTCTCTCTCTCTGTGTGTGTGTGTGTAGCCTTATTCAGAACACGATTGAAGCGTTATCTCCTAATCCTATGGGTACTCCCATGGGATATTGCAGATTTGATGCTGTTTGAGCCTTCTTCTTGAAGCTCTTGTATTGTTTTAGCCATATACTTTTTTTTTTTGAGACAAGGTCTCACTCTGTAGCCCAGACTAGAGTGCAGTGGCATGATCCTGGCTCACTGCATCCTCGATCTCCCCAGTAGCTGAGACTACAGGCATGTGCCACCACACTCAGCAAATGTTTTTATCAAGTTTTATCAAGTTGAGATCAAGCAATCCTCCCACCTCAGCCTCCTAAAGTGCTGGGATTACAGGCATGAACCACCACACCTGGCCTATTATAGCCATATGAAATTTTACTTACAAAACTTTATCTCAAAACAAGGAGGAGAGACTGTGACCAATCAACAAACAAATAATAAAAGATCAGTTAAAAACAAATTAACAGACATGTGCAGTGGGTTCCAGAGTCCTTTCTCTCTGACATCCTCCAGGGAGGAGTAGGACTCTCTTTTCCCCTAAGGAGTTATTTGCTGAAGCAGCCCTGGAGGTATCTAGGTGACTAGTTAATATCCCTGGGCAACCAGAAACTTATCAGTAGTATGTACGCATAAAGTTTTTAAAACTGTAGACACTGGTGGTTTCAAAGTAATAGGGATATTGTCAAGTTTCTATATATGTTTTTTCTAGATTTTTGTTCTTACGTTAATTGCAGAAATCTGTTCAGCATTGACAAGATTACGATCAATAATTAAACTGAATCATAATAAATTATAGTGGTTATCATTTTGGCTCTGAGGTAGTTCTTCTCTCCACCCCCACTCCTCCCCCCCACCCCCCTCCAGTCACTGATGGTCTTCCAGGGAATTTAGTTTTGCAAATTAAACAAATTATTCTCTTGTTCAGCTATTCTGTAATTGTAATATTTATTATTTTAAGCATTTGTTAAGCTATCATGTATTGTTGAAATGAATGAAATGTAGTAATTTTATGTATTTAGTTAGCAAACGATTGAGGGAAGTTATATCTACGCTTAACAAGAGTAAAAAGCAACAGACTTTAGTGTTCACTTATCAAGTCTTTTGGCATGAAGTGATTTACTCTGAGTTGTTTGGCACATAAAAATGAAGGATTGAAAAGAACAATTTTAATCTAAGCTTTTAAAATTGCAATCATGTTTTTAAAAATTGCTAGGTACATAATTATGAGCTCTAACTAATAGCTATTATTCTGATAGCCCTTTCTCCACTATCCACTGTGGGCCAAGAAAGTTAGTGTTTCTGAGCCTAGAAATTATATTTACTTTGTTCTTAAAATGGCCTAATTTCCCAGTGTCAAATTTCATGGTAGTATCTTGTTCGGCGAGGAGACCATTGAAGTCAAGAACTAAGATGATTTGCTTTTTGTTGTTGTTAGATTCTCGTTATTTCACGTGTTTTTTTTTTTTTTCTTTTTCACACCATCCTGATTTTCTAGTAGCCCAATGAAAACCTAGCATATTCAAGGTACCTAGTAATTCAAGGTATCTACTTTTACAACAGTAAAATTGTTTTTTGTTTCTTTTTGGTTAAAAGTATTTTCCTTCCATATCTGCCATTTATCCATATAGCAGAAACTTTCTAGTACCAGCTATACCTGCTGGGTGCCATGGATACAATATGCTGGGCAGAATCCAGATTTGGTCTTTGTTGTCTGGTCTGGTACCAGGATATTAACCAAGTAACCTAGTTATAGAGTAGAAAAGTAAGTGAGTGAGGGAAAAGAGTTTTATATGAGCTTAAAAAATAGAAATTGGGCCTAGCTTAGGGAGTTTGGAAAAGCTTCTGGGAGGGAGCCACGGTGGATCAAAGGTGAAATGGTTGCTTCAGGCCGAGGGAGGTGCAGTGCCAGGGAACATGGTCTATGCAGACGTGCTACTTCTTTGCACCAAGACCAAGATTAAGGTGGGTTAGTAGTATTTCCCTTGCTGAAATGTTCCCACTCATTTCTGTGAAAATCTTTTCCCACATCTCAAGATTTTTAGGGAACTCCATGGTTGCATAAACCAACTTTCTATAGTATAAGTTATTCAGAACAAGTCCTTATTCTAATTTTTTTTTAATCTTAACATGGGTATTTAAGTCTTATCAGGTCCAGTAAGATTTGCAATAAATAAAAAAGTTCTCTTTTGTATGGCAAGAGATAAAATCACAAAACTATCAGGTTACCTTCTGTTTGTGTCACTTTTTGTGTGTAGTTGTGAAAAGATTCTTGGGTCACTTTATTACCCATCTGTATTTTTTTAAGCAGTGTTTGGACCTATTTCTAACTTAGATGTGTTTGTTGATGTTTACTTTGTAATTATGTAATGATTAGAAGCATCTAACTCAGAGTTCAATATTTTCAGTTAAGAGCTGCAAGGGCCGCTGTTTTGAGAGAACATTTGGGAATTGTCGCTGTGATGTGGCCTGCGTTGGGCTTGGAAACTGCTGTCTAGATTACCAGGAGACCTGTATAGAACCAGGTAAGGATGTTCAGGGAAAAAAATGGAGTTACAGGCACTAAAAAAGACCAAGGAAAGTTCTGCATCTTTTAGGTGTGTGGTTTACTTAACTCATTTGAGGGTTTGTTTTTTTTTTTAATTTAGTCTGCACACACAGTTTGGCTTCTGCCTGTTGGTTTTCGTTGTAATTCCTTAGAGAAAACATTTAGGATTTATGAGATAGTTTATTGTCTTTCATGAATTATACTCCAGAAGACAGGTGGCCATGTTCGATTTGAATTATAAAATGCATTCTGTTCATGTTTGTTTCTAGAACATATATGGACTTGCAGCAAATTCAGGTGTGGTGAGAAAAGATTGAGCAGAAGCCTCTGTGCCTGTTCGGATGACTGCAAGGACCGGGGTGACTGCTGCATCAACTACAGCTCTGTGTGTCAAGGTCAGGCACTCGCTGGGTCCCACTGCAGTCTGGCATCTTCCAGGGTTGTAGCTGGGTTTTGTGTAGGTGTTATCTTTGATATTAGGAGTCGTAATTATTGGCCAACTATATTCGCTGCAAAAAAAATGCTCTTAAAACTTTTTGTTAAGAAAAATTTCAAGCCCGTGTGTGAGGAGGGAGAGTATGTAATGCACTCATTGTTGTAACCATCACTAGCTTAATAATAATGATTACCTACACATGGGCAGTCTTGTTTTATCTATAGCCACTCACTCTCCTGCCACCACCCCTCATGTTTTGATAATAGCTGCATACTGAATGCTGTATTTGTGGAAAGATCACTCTTCCAGTCCTGGCTGACCTTCGTGTTCCAGATTCCCTCCTAGTAATGAGGACAGTGTCTGCTGTGTGCAGAGTTGATGCGAAATTACTTCGAAATCAGATGGGGCATTTTGTAAGCTGATGTTGTTATAATTTCTTGTCCAGGTATTACACAACTTCTTGAAATTCCTGGACAAAACCTGGGTCTATCTGAGAGTGAACTGAGATATCAAAATACCAAGGACTTTTGATGGGTGGACAGAAGGAGGGTTGTACATTTGGTTCAAAATATTAAGAATTTGAAAATGAGACGATATCTTCAGCCCTCACAAATACAGTCGCATGCTTTAGACCTGCAGGTATAACTCCAGTTGTGGAAAAAAAGCAGATTTTTTTCCTGGAATCAACTAATTCTTATTTGTAAGCAGAAAAGATCCCTTTGTTTATGCTCCCCAGTGTCAGGTCCCGTGTTACCTTAGATCTGTTTTTGGAATTTGCCTTAATGTGTTTCATAAGCATCACAGTTACTGTTACTGTTAAGTGTGTGTTCAACTAGTTTTATTTCTTGGAAATATTTTAGGTGAGAAAAGTTGGGTGGAAGAACCATGTGAGAATATTAATGAACCACAGTGTCCAGCAGGGTAAGATTGGATTCTGAGATATTAATTTATTCTTTTTTTACAAGTATAGTACCGCTTTTTTCTCTTTCCAGATTAAGAAGCTAAATATAAGAATCACTGGTTTATTAGACATTCCAGGTTGAGTATTCTTTATCCAAAATGCTTGGTACCAGAAGTGTTTCAGATTTCGGATTTTGGAATGTTTACATTGTATTAGTTTGAGCATCTCAAACCTGAAAGTCCAAATCTGAAATACTTTAATGAACATTTCCTTTGCACATCATATAGGCACTCAAAAAATTTTGGGTTTGGGAACATTTCAGGTTTCAGATGTTCAGATTTGAGATACTCAAGCTATATTTGTAGCCAGATCTTGTTTTTGGCACTGGTGATATAGAGGTGATTAAGGAGTGACCCCTACTCTAGAAGCTAATGGAAAAAAGAGAGACTATGAATATTTAGTCTTTAGTATTCATGAGTGCTAGATAGAAATATTTGTATCTTCCTTCTTTTTTTTTTAAATAAAATTTTTTTTGAGTCAGTCTTACTCTATTACCCAGATTGGAGTATAGTGGCATGATCACATCTTACTGCAGCCTCAAACTCCTGGGTTCAAGTGATCCTTCCTTATTAGTAGCTGGGACTACGAGTGCTAATCTTTTTATTTTTTTGTAGAGACGAGATCTTACTATGTTGCCCAGGCTGATCTCAAACTCCTAAGCACAAGCAATTCTCCCACCTCGGCCTTCCAGAGTGCTGGGATTAAGGTGTAAACCACTAGCCCAACCTGTGTCTGCCTTTTTAGGAAGGAAGGAGCTTTACCTTTATTTGGAGTTTTGAGAGCTGAACTTATAGAAAATTACTTTAGCTTCTCTTTATTTTTTGTTACTTTGGTTCATTTATAAATTTTTGGCAATAGGCAATATGTTTGTGAGAAGATGTTGCATAATTTTTTTTTTTTGAGTTGGAGTCTCACTCGGTTGCCCAGACTGGAGTGCAGTGGCCGCTCCCGGCCATCGCAGCCTCGACCTGCTGGGCTCCGGCGATCCTTCCGCCTCAGCCTTCCAAGTAGCCGGAATTACAGGCATGCGCCACCACGCCCGGCTGATTTTTTGATTTATTGTAGAGATGAGGTCTCGCTGCCCAGGCGGGTCTTGAACCCGCAGGCTCAGGCAATCCACTCACCTCAGCCTCCCAAAGGCGCGGGATTACAGGCTGAGCCACCGAGCCCGGCTGTTGCATAATTTTTATAAATTTTTTTGTACTTAAATATTTAGTACAGAACATTAAAAAGAGTGTGTATGTAATTTAAAGGATGGAAATTTTATAAAGATATTAGATGTGTTTTTCTTTTTTCCATTTGAGGTCTTTCTCATATAATTTGAATTATTCACCAGAAATATGTTTTTACTTTTTAAAATGACAGTTTTTCAAACTATTAGAATGTTTAAAGCTATATTTTAGCTCATTTTTTCAAGTGTATGATTTTTTTTTTGCCTGTTTTGCTTTGTTTTTATTTATTTTTGGATAGGAGAGCACTTTTTTTGGTTTAAAACAGCAATAACAGCAGCAGCAACAGCAAAAACTAAACCTAAACTAAATAATTTCAACAGAAGAGTCCTTGTTGGAACTTCTCACATACCCTGCACTGCCTTTTAAGGTCAAAGTCTACTGGAAATATAGACTTTGTACATTTTGAATCTTTTTTTTTCTATCTAAATATTGATCATTATTTTTCTATTGTAACATTGAATCTTTTAGTGGAAAATATAACTCTTCATTTCTTTGCAAGGAGATCATAACTTAGAGCACTTTTGTTGTACTGGATATTATTACAGTATATTTACCTGGTAGCCCACTTAACTGCTTTTATAGCTTTTTTAAACAATTTTTTTGATTTTAATTTTTAATTTTTTTTTGAGAAAGCCGGATTTATTGAGAGGACAGAAAAGCTCCCACAGTGGGAGGGAACCCCAAGGGGGTTGTCCCATTAATTTTTATTTTAAAGATGAGTACAGTTCAGGGTTAGGCATACAAATGGTCATTGTACAGGTAAAGTTTGGGCCTCACTTTGTTCCCCATTTCACCTGGTTTGAGATCAGGTAACCTTATTGATGAAGTGTGCCCCACCTCCCTCACCTGGCAGTTTTCCACTCCTGCCAATCCTTTTCTTATAGTATTATGATAATTGTTTGGGGTCTGCTTACGAGTGAGAACATGTGGTACTCAGTTTTTTGTTTCTGTGATGGATCACTGAGTATGATAGACTCTGAGTCCATCCAGGTTGCTGCAAAGTTCATAATTTTGTCCTTCTTTATGACTGTGTAATATTCCATCATGTATATATACCATTTTTTAAAAATCCAGTCCATTTTTTTTTTTTTTTTTGAGTTGGAGTCTCACTCCATCACCCAGGCTGGGTACAGTGGCATGCTCATGACCACCCCAGTGTTGACCTGCTGGGCTCAGGCAAACCTTCCACCTCAGCCTTCCAAGTAGCTGGAACAATAGGCGCATGCTACCACGCCTCACTCATTTTTTGATTTATTGTAGAGATAAGGTCTCGCCAAGTTGCCCAGGCTGGTCTCAAATCCGTGGGCTCAGGCAGTCCCCTCATCTCGTCCTCCCAAAGTGCTGGGATTACGGCCTTGAGTCACTGCGCCTGGCCAATCCAGTCCACCTTCGATGGGCAGCACAGCTGGTTCCATGGTTTGCTATTGTGAATAATGCTGCCATAAACATGCACATGCAGGTATCTTTTTCATAGAGTGATTTCAGTTCCTCCAGGTTATATTCCCAGAAGGGTGGCTGCTGGATCATATGGGAGGTCAATTTTTAGATCTTTTAGGCTTGTATGTTTTCTGCTGATTGACTAGAAATAGTTTTTTGAAGTTTTACATGAGCCATTGAGACTATATGCAACTGATTCTGCAGTCTCCCAGTGGAGCTGCATTATAGATACTAGTTAGTGGAAATTGCATAAAAATTGTCTCCTGTTTTGGGGTTGCTTTTGTGTTTATGTGTGTGGGTAAGATGGGAGGAGGTAGGGTTGAAAAGGCAAGGTAAGGGATTTGCTTTCAAATTTTAAATCACTGAGTAAACTTTCAGTGGAACGTCTCTTTATAGTTATCAAGTGGTGTACAGCTCCCCTACCATCTACCAGCTGTCACTAGATGTTGCAAAATTTCCTAATTGTGGCTATTCTGGGGTAGCCATGAAGCAGTCATCCACAGCTATTCTCTTGTCCTGAGTACATTGTCATTGTATATGGTTTTTGCCTCTCTGAATTTCCTCACCATACACATTGACTGTATGTGTGTGCTTGTGTGTATGTTGTTGAAACCTCATTGTTTGATCATATTTGTATATTTGATAATAGAGCTATATGTATTATGAAGTGATAAAGCATGTATATAAATATAAAAGCATATGAAATATATTTTATAAGTGTGCTTGCTGAGCTTGTTAGTTTAGATAAGATTACATACTGACCTCAGTGGAGAACCCTCCTGGACCGGTACTAAGGAAGGAACATATCTCCATTGGCTGTGTCTTTGCTTCGTTAAACATTTTTAATTTTTTTCCTTTTCATTACCCAGGTTTGAAACGCCTCCTACCCTCTTATTTTCTTTGGATGGATTCAGGGCAGAATATTTGCACACTTGGGGTGGACTTCTTCCTGTTATTAGCAAACTAAGTGAGTAACTTCAGCGTTTACTACCGGAGCATCATGATTTCAGTGAGATAGACTAGGGAGGCATTTTTGGAAAAGTACTGGTCGAACCTAACTGTTTTATCAAACTTCTCTATGACAAATTAGTGGAACCTGGTGATAAGTCTTTAGTATTGTGATTACTCTGAAGCCACCCTTTAAATTCTTCTAAGTTTAATACAGTTATTTTAGGATTCTAATCTTCAGCCATTTTTATACATTCTTTCTTAGAGTTTTGTTATTCTTTCTTAGAGTTTTGGATTCCCTTTGTGGAAAAATAAATTGTTAATTGATTATAATTTATTATAAATATTTCATTTTAAAAATAGAATTTCAGAAGCTAAAATTTAGTAGTTCAGACATAGAATATCTGTCTGCTAGTTATCATATATTATACTCTTTTTTTTTTTTGAGTTAGAGTCTCACTCTGTAGCCTGGGCTGGAGTGCAGTGGCACACTCATGGCCACTGCAGCCTTGACCTGCTGGGTTGAGGTGATCTTTCCACCTCAGCCTTCCAAGTAGCTGGAACTACAGACGCACACCACCACGCCTGGCTAATTTTTGTGATTTATTGTAGAGATGAAGTCTCACCAATTTGCCCAGGCTGGTCTCGAACCCCCAGGCTCAGGCAATGCTCTTGCCTCGGCCTCCCAAAGTGCTGGGATTACAGGCTAAGCCACCGCGCCCAGCCCTATTCTATATTATTCTTTGGATTAAATTGGATCCTCCAAAAATATTTTTTTAATCTCAATCGAGGCCTTAATTAAATGGTTATTCTATGAGTTACTGATGAAATAGTAGAATAATATTTTATTAATATTGGTGACAAAGTTTTAAATCACATTAATAGCCAGTAATATTTGTGTCAGTTGTATCATCACTGTTACTGAAAAAGGGAAAATCATGTATACATATAAAAACTATAGAACATTGCAAGTTGTCAGTCCTCAATATTTAAGTGGCTATTGTGTAATACCAGACTAAATGGGAGTAAGTAAATACAATTATTTTAGTGTTCTTCTGGAATTCTAAAATATTATTTATCAGAGTTGAGTATGTAGGGTTGCTTTTAAACATTAAAATCATTCTCAGTAAATGCATATGTAAATCATTATGCTTGTCTTATGATGTGCCAGAATAATTTTTGGAGAGCTTTTTAAATTTCAGTTTTTAATTTCTACCTGAAATAAAATTTTGAAAAAAATATAAATCATCATTTGGCATAAAAGTTCTGTCTTTGCATGGACAAAGCCCTGTTCTTACCAGCAGGCCCATGGGCTTTGAAGATTGTCCAGCCCTTTGTTACCATTAAGAGCAGAGTTTGTCTCCATGACATCAAATGTGGCATCCTGAGTTCAGAATTAAGGAGCTGTAGGTACCGATATATGAAGGGTAAAATAAATCAGTACACAAAGAGCTCAACCTCTGGCTTTGGGTAATTGGGGAATGTAGCCTGTAATTCTGAACTTTTTGGAAGGCAGTGAGATACATTGATACATGCCAGTCCAAGGGACATTTTCAGGCAAGGGAGCATTGAAATGCTGGAATGTTATGTTTTCCTTCCTTAGTAGTAGAGGCAGGAGGAGAGGATGGAGACACCAGGGCTGGATCAGCAGGGCGTCAGGAACAGTCTGACTTCTGTGCTTTCTCTGACTTGAGCCAAAGGATAGATTTGTCATTAATTTAAAGCATCTGAGTTTGTCCAGGGCTAGCTGGTTCTGGATCAGTGGCCTGGGACACTGTCTGTATAGCTTAATTTGGAGATTCAGCTACTAGTGCAGGTTTTTTTTTTCTAACTACCTCATAATTTAGTTATTTGACCATTAAGTAGTATCAAAGATCTAGCAAACATCTCATTGTTATAACTTGACTGTCTTGACCTTAATGTCAAGAGAGATTATTATTTCATTGGCCTAATTATTTTTAGAGAAAAGTAACTCTTTAACACTGAATTTGGCTGGGCTCGGTGGCTCAGCCTGTAATCCCGCGCTTTGGGAGGCTGAGGTGAGTGGATTGCCTGAGCCCGCGGGTTCGAGACCCGCTTGGGCAGCGAGACCTCATCTCTACAATAAATCAAAAAATCAACCGGGCGTGGTAGCACATACCTGTAATTCCGGCTACTTGGAAGGCTGAGGCGGAAGGATCGCCGGAGCCCAGCAGGTCGAGGCTGCGGTGGCCGGGAGCGGCCACTGCACTCCAGTCTGGGCGACAGAGTGAGACTCCAACTCAAAAAAAAAACCAAAAAAACCAAACCAAACCAAAACAAAACAAAACAAAAAACATTGAATTTGTATTCACAACATTGCTTTATAATTCATCCTGAGTTTTTATCTGGTTATAAATCCCTCCTAGGCAATTTTTTTTTCATGATTAGATTGCTGTGGTAAGCTAAATGAAGTAAGCAAATTGTCAGATGTGTTTAATAAGGATTTTAATTTTCTTCCCTTCTAGAAACCTGTGGAACATACACTAAAAACATGAGACCGGTTTATCCAACAAAAACTTTTCCCAACCACTACAGCATTGTGACAGTAAGCTCTGCATTTCAACTTTTATACGTTCACAGAAATGAGATGGAATTGCAACATTTTTGGAGGGAATTAGATCTCAGCACAGAGAAACTTCTTTTCCAATATGTAGTTAAGCAAGGAAACCTAGATTCTGTTCTTTGTTATTTGTTCTGCCTCTGATAAGCTGTGGCCTTCAGAAGGTCACTTTACCTACTGAGTCTCCATCTTCTCATCTGTAAAGAGGTGACGGAAGACCCTTAGGAATACCTTCTTGGTTTCTCTTCACTTTTAAGATTCTCTGTTTCTTGCATCCTGTTTTTTTCTTTTTTCTCACTATTTTTGTAGCTCTATTTGAGCCAAAAAACTGTTCTCATATTTCTATGTTTTCAACTTGTCTTTCCAGTCATCATAGTGATGAGTTTAAACAAGCCATTTTGCTTTGACTCCAGATAGGATTACAGTCTCGTTTTTGTTTCAGAGTTTAATTTGAATCAAGAAAAACAGTAGAACTCATTAAGCTTTAGAATTAAAGCCAGAAAATTAGTACATTAGCTTGTATTGATACAAGCTGCAATCAGACCTAGCCAAAAAGGAGTTTGTTCTACAGAAGTATTTTGCTCAGCAATGTAAGAAGGCAACAGAGTATTTTTTTTCCTTTTTTTTTTACAATTTCAGAGACTGTTTTTTATATAGACCTTCATCCATGGTATTGCTGACTTATTTTCTCTTATTGCATAATTTAAAACACAGATACATTAAAATTTTAAGTGGTTGTATTTTGACATTATCTATTTTTGTTTTTCCCTCCTTAAACTTTATTATAATACCTTGTAGCTTCAGTTATCATATTTTCTTTGACAGTTTTACTCTTTGACTTTATTGAACATTATATAGACTCATACCTTGCTTATAAAATTTGTATTTTATCTTTTTTAGGGTCTTTATCCAGAATCTCATGGCATAATTGACAATAAAATGTATGATCCCAAAATGAATGCTTCCTTTTCACTTAAAAGTAAACAGAAATTTAATCCTGAGTGGTACCAAGGAGAACCAGTGAGTTTCTTGTTTGCTTTCACTACTAACATAGTTTATTATTCTGATCTATGTCAATTGGAGTGAAATGAATGGATTCCCTAGAGCTTTTAATAGCCTGTCTCATTTACTGTGTCTTTGGCCATCTTTCATAAATGGAGATGAGTGCCTATAATCCTAAAAATGACTTGTGTGATTGCATAAAATGAGACTTGTTGTTTGTTTATTTATTTACTTTTATTTTTGAGTCATAGTCCCACTGTAGCCCAGGCTGGAATGCAGTGGCACACTCACAGCTACCGCAGCCTCCATCTACTGGACTCTGACAATCCTTTCACCTCAGCCTTCTAAGTAGCTGGAACCGCAGGTGTGCGCCACCACGCCCAGCTAACTTTTTTGATTTGTTTTAGAGATGAGGTCTTGCTATGTTCCTCAGACTTGACCCGTGGGCTCAGGCAATCCTCTTGCCTCCGTCTCCCAAAGCACTGGGATTGCATGCATGAGCCACTGCACTCGACATGAGAGTTATTTATTTTGGAGATGGTTTTGGGTTGTGCTGGGCCATTTTTCTTTTCTGACTGATTCTTCTTGTAGTAGTAGCATATAGCAGTAGTCTGAGGGTCCTAGTTTTGATATGTGCAAAAGTGTTTTATTTTTGAAAAAAGTAAGTCTTGGTTTCATTTGTATGTGCTAATTTGGGAGGGTCTTTTCTATTGTGATTTAGATGTGCTCTCTTGCTTATGTATTTTTAAAATTGCCACTATAATTACATAGGGCCTGTGTAGATAATTCTAGCTCTGACATTGAAAGCTGTGTGACTTTGGACAAATCATTCTTTCTGTGCCTCAGTTTTCTTATATCTATACTGTCGATAATACTGCCGACTATCTTGTAGAGTTTATTGGGAGGATTATATAAATTAATAATACAGGATGCTTAAAGGAATACTCTTCAGAACCATAATTGGCCTCAACAAGTGCTTACTAAATGTTAGTGACATAAACAAAGATGTCAGCAAATTAAAGACATGTATTTGTGAATTTTTCTTCTTTCAAGAGAAACCTATTTAATAGGTGTGTAGCTCTAAATGTTGCAGGAGTGAATCTCTGGCTATTTAATATTTTGTTGCTGCCACCAAAGAGTCGTGTTACATGATTGTCATGGCCTGACTACTGGAGCTTGCTGACTTTAAGAATGCTCTAGCACTAGAGAGGGATGCCTTGGTATTGTATGAACACGTACTAAGAGATGAATGTTTGCATGGTTTCCTAATTCTCCTTCATTGTCTACTCCAGATTTGGCTCACAGCTCAGTATCAAGGCCTCAAGTCTGGCACTTTTTTTTGGCCAGGATCAGATGTGGAAATTAATGGAATTCTTCCAGACATCTACAGGATGTATAATGGGTACGTGTAGATGAATTTTTTTCTAGGACCTAGGATGGAGAGCAACCTGTTTTTACGTCATCCTCTCCTTTTTGCCGAGTCTTAAGCTTTTGCATTTGCTTGATATGTCGGCTGAAAAATGGGAACTCAGAATAAGAACTCTATCTCAAAGAGTTTTCGATGGATGGAAATAGACAGTAAAACTAGACAAGTGTTTTCTAGAGCTTTTCTAGAAACTCTGATAACGCGTTGAGTTCAGATTTGGGGGCAGAAATAAAAAACGGTGACAGGAGAGATCTGAGAGTAGAAACACTGCTTTTTTTTTGGAGTTGGAGTCTCACTCTGTTGCCCAGGCTGGAGTGCAGTGGTACACTTACGGCCACTGCAGCCTCGAACTGCTGGGCTCAGTTGATCCTCCCTCCTCAGCCTTCCAAGTAGCTGAAACTACAGACATGCGCCACCATGCTGGCTAATTTTTTGATTTATTGTAGAGATGCGGTCTCACCAAGTTGCCCAGGCTGGGCTCGAACCTGTGAGCTCAGGCAGTCCTCTCACCTTGGCCTCCCAAAGAGTGCTGGGATTATAGGCGCTAGCTACCACGCCCTGCTGAGACACTGCTCATTTTAACCCTAGGAAGCAAAAGAATGAGAAGAAGAAGATGAATGTATGAAAGAGGACAACTGGAGTGACTCTTTGGTGTTAGGAAATATTATATAAAAGAAGATAATTAGTAGCACCTCTGGATTTCTATTTCTAAATTACCCTAATAAATATGCTTTTTAGTGTAAGACATTGATGAGAATAACCTTATTGTGATATTCAAAATTTATGATGATCCACTGAGGAAAAAAACAAAAACTTTTTAATGAATGAATCTCTTTGGCTGATTTTAGCAAGACACCCCAAATAATTTTATTTATTTTATAGTTGTGAAATTTCTGTCACAAAAATCAATATAACAACATATTTGGGAGGGTGAGAGTAATAGATCATAGATCCCAGACAAGAAATGCGTAATAATGATTCTCCTTGGTGATCTGACGCTGGTTTATGTTCTTTGTGGTTTCCATGAGCACAGTGCACTATCTGTTCTCCTCAACCTTCTCATTTGTCATTGTTCTTTTGTTTTTGTTTTTGTTTTTTGAGTCGGAGTCTCACTCCATCACCCAGGCTGGAGAACAGTGGCACACTCACAGCCACACCAGTGTTGACCTGCTGGGCTCTGGCGATCCTTCCATCTCAGCTTTCCAAGTAGCTGGAACTACAGGCGCGTGCCACCCTGCCTGGCTAATTTTTGATTTATTGTGGAGACGAGGTCTCGCCAAGTTGCCTGGGCTGATCTCAAACCCCTGGGCTCAGGCAATCCATTGGCCTCGGCCTCCCAAAGTGCTGGGATTACAAGCTAAGCCACCGAGCCTGGCCTGTCACTGTTTTTATTCCATGGATGGGCATGGAGATGTTATGTGCCATGTATTGTTCTAGGGATAGAAGATTCAAGATTAGTAGCATATGATCTGTGGCTTCTCCAGGTCTGGTCGCGAACACAACTAACTGTGCTTGGGATTGGGCAGGCACTCTGAGGGAAATGTGTAAACAAAACCATGTGCCCAGCGAAAGGCATAGTCAATTATGCAGAGGAAGTGCTTCGTGGAGAACTGTTATCTCTTCCTCGGGCACCGGCTTCCCGGTGGCACCAAGAGTTCTTCATGGGTGCCCTTTGCAGATGTTAGTCGTGTGGTATGCAATGGCTAAGTAATATCCTCACGTTGAGGGTGGCAAGCACACTTTTAAACATAACTTACAGCTTGTATTTGTGTAAAATTTAACTTTCGTTCCTCCATTGGGCAAACGAATTTACATTTTCAAATAGAACTCTTTACTTCAAACACAATAGATGCTAAAAAAGCATATAGTGTCTCATAATGCTATTTTCAGTAAAAAATTTGTATCTTAAATTCAAACAGTTGCTATAGATTTGTTTCATTTTTGTCTAATCTTAATTTTAGTTCAGTTCCATTTGAAGAAAGAATTTTAACTGTTCTTCAGTGGCTGCAGCTTCCTAGAGATGAAAGGTATGTAGGGAAATAAATACTCTTTGTTTTATAGAAATTACATCATATTTTAAAATAGACGCCAACAAAACTTTGCTTTTGGCTTTGATATCTCATATCCAAATAGACTCTTTAGTGAACTGTTACAGCCACATTTTGAAGAACTTCAAGCCTGTAAATTGTTTCTCAGTAGAATGTTACCCTAGTGTTGTAGAGTTTTTAATCGCTATTAATTGCTGAATTATTTTTTCTGTTGTTTTTCAATGTGTTCATAAAATATTACATTTTGATACTGTTTGATTTAGACCACACTTTTACACTCTGTATTTAGAAGAACCAGATTCTTCAGGTCATTCATATGGACCCGTCAGCAGTGAAGTAAGTATGTTTTTATCAGTGATTACTTCTTTAAACCTGGTCATGAAACTGAACTTTGCTTTGAAGTAAGTTTCTAGATCCTTCTATAAGATTTTGCGATTTTTGGAAAAGAATGAGTATTAGGCACAATTTCACTGAACAAAAGGACGTACTTTAAACAAAATGAGAATTGGAAGGGTTGTTTTGCTTATATTTTCCATAGCGTTAAATTGAACTGATGATAATTCTGTATTGTTGATTCCAAAGCCTTTACCCAACTCCATAGCCCCCTACCTTGACCTAAAAACCAGGTGCTTTTTTGTGAATTTTGTAAACAGGTAAGACTCTACATTTCTATAAAAATATAAGTTAAGTCAAGTGGAAGAAGAAACCTCATAGGAGAAACCTCATATATCTTCTTAGGAGATATGTCTTTGGCCTCCAGAAAATATGCTTACATATGGCATTAAAGGATGGGAGATTTTATCAAAAGTATACAGATACTCAAATAATTACTCATTATTGAGTGGTTTCTAGGAAACCAGAGAAAGGAAAATAGCTCATAATAAACTAGCACTCTCAATGTAACATCTTATTTACTTGATGCCCTTTTAGGAACTAAACCATGTCCTGGCTGTGTTTGTAATCTGTATAATGCTTTAAAGCTCAAATATTGCTTTCAGTTTACATGTGACCATATCATTTTTCATCTTGGAGTACAGGGAGTATTAGCACAGAAAATGATTTGAGCATCTTTCCTTGTACCACCAAGTGGACATTCCTTCTGATATATATTTTATCTGTGACCTAAGATAGAAAAAGAAACAATAAATGAGCATCTGTGATTATTGTTGGTCATGATAAAAGGAAAGGAATCCCTCATGTCAGAATCCTTATCTAGTTATCTTTTTCCCCATGTGATTTCAAGAGACAATAGACTATGAAAACATACTCTGTCTTAATAGCCAAGGCTTCACCTCCAAAATCCTGTCAGTTCTCCTGCCCAGGTAGCCCAGGCTGGATAGTTTGTGAGCCTCAAGGACTCTTTTTCTTAAGTTGGAGTCTTACTCTGTTGCCCAGGTTGGAGTGCAGTGGCGCGTTCCTGACCACTGCAGCCTCAACCTGCTGGGCTCAGGGGATCCTTCTACCTCAGCCTTCCAAGTAGCCGGAACTATAGGCGTGTGCTACCACGCCCAGCTAAGTTTTTGATTTATTGTTAGAGATGAGGTCTCACCACGTTGCCCAGGCTGGTCTCGAGCCTGTGGACTCAGGGAATCCTCTCGCCTCGGCCTCCCTAAATGCTGGGATTATAGGCTTGAGCCACCACGTCCGACCTGCCTCAAGGACTCTTAACCACAGGGTACAGACTAAAGCATGTCCTGACATGTCTATTGGGAGCCCTATTTTTGAGGGTGTTACCTGGTCTAAATGCTTATTCAGCAACAGCAGAGGAAGGAAGAGAGACAAAGAGCATGCTCGTTTTTCTCATTTGAATTTAAAGAAGCAGCCTAACAACCTTCCCTTTCTTTCCCTTACATTGGATCTACCCTAGATTTGCTCCTCCTAAAAAGTAGGTATGGGGGCAACCCCTTTAGGTCCCCTCCCACTGTGAGAGCTTTTCTGTCTTCTCAATAAATCCTGTTTTCTTAAAAAAAAAAAAAAAAAAAAAGTAGGTATGAATTGGATCACTATATCACCTCAGATAAAAGAGTGCAAAGAAAGAAGTTGCCCCTCACCTAGGTCTGTTTTTTCCCTTTGCATTTTTTCCACCAAAATCCATCTCTAGCAACTCTGCTGTAGCTAGTAACCCCATTGTGTCTTGCGTCCGTTCTGTCATTAAACTGAGCAGAAAGGCTCCTTCCTAGAGGTGGGGTAAGGAAGCATTGTGACTAACAGCATGGCCGTGTCATAACTGGTCGAAGGGAGAAGTTTTTTGTAGGCGTTGTCTTGGTTTGAACAGTTGGCCAGACACTAATGTGATTTTTTACTCTTTCACTGAAGTCACTGACACCTAAGACTCATGACTAGGCCCGTTTGGCTACACATAAGTTTTTGGATCTTTCTGTAATTGTTTGATGGTCAGATTATATAAGTTTTCAGTTTTGTGCTACCTTTTCTAATTCACTAATGATGTGTCAAACATCTGCTTTTCTGATTCATCTTTGTTGAAGGTTGAGTCCATTAATGTTCAGATCATATTTGTCAAATTTGCAAACCCTGTTAAACTCTGACATTGGCACATCAAAATACACTTTATCTTAATACTTAAAAATGTTCATGTAGCTTGGATATCTTTGAGTGAATAGAAAGGCTTTGTCTTATCTCATATTGCAGTGAAAGAGCTTGTGTCATATTACAGTGAAATATACTGACTATGAATGAAGATTAAACTGATTTGATGCATTAAAAAAACACACACATGCAAAACTGCATAGAAATTTTCCTCAGGTGGTTTTGCAAGAAGAGAGGAAAAGGGGAATGCCAGAAAACAGTTTGCCAAAACCACTGTCTTTCTTTGCTCTTGTGATATTCATACAAAATACATGCAGTTTGTAAGGAAATAATGAGTCATAGTTCTGTGAGTTCTAGTTTAAAAAGTAGAGTACATAGAATTATAAGAAGCATTTCACAAATAATTTTAACATTTTTGAAAATCAGGAAATATTTACACAATGAACATTTAAATGATCAGAAACTATAAAAAGAAATTAATTGTAGTAATTAGGAATGCATTGGTTTCTGACCAAACACAGTGGAATTGAGTTATTATTACTTTGGCTTAATCTATGTCTAGTCTAAGTAGTAGCATTCTAACCTCAGGAAGGAAGACCTCATTCGCTCAGCTAATGTCATTTCCAAATCTTAATGATTATGTATAGAATTTGGAGCCTTCTGTTGTTAATGCTCTACAGTTATTTATAGCTCTTTATGTCTGTAACCCTGACCTGTCTTAGTCCACTGTGAATCAGCTCATCATGATTGCAAACACTGACCTTTTTTTTTCTTTTTAAACAGAGATCGCTCTGTATAGAAATGGCCGTTAGTATGCAATGTATCACATGAAATTGCTTCCCTCCTTAGGTCATCAGAGCCTTGCAGAGGGTTGACAACATGGTTGGCATGCTGATGGATGGCCTGAAAGAGCTCAACTTGCACAGATGCCTGAACCTCATCCTTATTTCAGACCATGGTAATCTGAATTCGCATCATTTATTCTTCGGGTTAAATGTCACCAAAAAAATTTACATGGTTGGTTTTTGTTTCCTGATTTCCTTGGAATGTTATAGTTAGTTGCCTTTTTAAAATATGGTTTCCTTTTCTTTTTTTTTTTTGAGTTGGAGTCTCACTGTATCACCCAGGCTGGAGTGCAGTGGCACACTCACGGCCACCCCAAGCATCGACCAGCTGGGCTCCAGCGATTCTTCTGCCTCAGCCTTCCAAGTAGCTGGAACTACAGGCACACACTGCCATGCCCGACTAATTTTTGATTTATTGTAGAGATGAGGTCTCTCCAAGTTGCCCAGGCTGGTCTCAAACCTATGGGCTCAGGCAATCCACTTGCCTCGGCCTCCCAAAGTACAGGGATTACAGGCTGAGCCACCGAGCCTGGCCTTAAGATATAGTTTCTTATGGAAAGTCTTTAGGAAAAAATTATATTAAATATAAAATGTAAGTGAGGCTGAACACAGTGGCTCACACCTGTAATCCTAGCACTTTGGGAGGCTGAGGCAGAAGGATTGCCTGAGGCAAGAGGATTGTCTGAGCCCAGGGGTTCAAAACCAGCCTGGATAACTTGGTGAGACCTCTACAATAAGTAAAAAAACCAACTGGGCACATTGGTGCGTGCCTGTAGTTCTAGCCACTTGAAAGGCTGAGACAGAAGGATGACCTGGACCCAGCAAGTCGAGGCTGCAGCAGCTGTGAGCGTGCCTCTGCACTCCAACCTGAGTGACACTTTGACTCACTCAACAACAACAAAAACATAAGTGAAATATAGACTTCACAGAAACCTAAGAGCAAATTAAGCATAACACTCCCATGTGGTTTGGAAAAGACATATACCAGGAATTTGAGTAGTTAAAAAAATGTGTTCAACATTACCTTTTATTAGTCGTACAATTTTAGTCCTTTGCAAAAAGTCAAAATTTTGCATCTTCTATTTTTCTAACATGTGGTAACCTGTGAAACAGTCACCAAAATGTATTGCAGGTTCTTTGATATATGTTGCCCAATAGTAATTTGTTTGACGTCTTCCACCTGGTGTTTTTCTATTTGAGCAGACAATATCTCTTTTTCTTCCTCCCACATTAGTAATATGTAATTTATTGTCCAGTTTGTTGTTTGAAGATGATGTGGAAGGACACACTCCTGAAAACCACTTCTCAACTGATTGATCAGAAGCTTGCCAAGTTAAAATAAGACTTAGAGCCAGGCTTGGTGGCTCAGCCTGTAATCCCATGCCTTTGGGAGGCTGAGGTGAGTGGATTGCCTGAGCCCGCGGGTTCGAGACCCACCTGGGCAGTGAGACCTCATCTCTACAATAAATCAAAAAATCAGCCGGGCGTGGTAGCACATGCCTGTAATTCCGGCTACTTGGAAGGCTGAGGCGGAAGGATCACCGGAGCCTAGCAGGTCATGGCTGCGGTGGCCGGGAGCGGTCACTGCACTCCAGTCTGGGTGACAGAATGAGACTCCAA